CTGCTTTCGTCTCCTCTTTCTGCCCCCACCCCCCCCCCCCCCTCACCTCCTTTGCCCCCTCCTCTGGGCTCCTGACTCTTTCTGCAGCCTTTCTACTGCTACTCCTTGACTCCTTCTGACAGCTGTCTTTCTGCCACACCCCTGATCTTCTGGTAGGAAAGATCTGCACCTAGCCTTCTCGGACAAAGGCGAAAAATCTCATAAGTTGCGCACGTTAAAGATCCCATGGTGGTTTAAAATCTACAAGAGTAGGCTTCGGCCGCCACCCGGGCAACATTCAAAATTCCTTACAACTAAAAGTGTAAGGTGTGTCCCGCGCGCTTATATGACCTTGTGCAGTTGCAAGCGCCGTAAAACACTTACCCCCCCCCCCAAATATATATGTGTGTATGTGTGTGTGTGTGTGTGTGTGTGTGTGTGTGTGTGTGTGTGTGTGTGTGTGTGTGTGTATGTGTGTATGTTTGTGTGTGTGTCTACGTGTGTATAATATATATAAATATATATTGTGAAAGTATTACATGTATACATATGATATGTATTATATTGTGTTCTGACCAAAAGAAAATCTTTTCCTAAATTATATTTATCTCATTAATTTAAAAACAGAAATGACTCTAGCTGACATTTGAATGGAATGCCCAAGGAAAATTCTTTGCTTCAAATGGCAGGATAAAAAGATAAAATATCACACACGGAAGTTCTAAAACGGGCAAATGCCGATAGTCTGCTTTCTGAACACAAAAGAACTTTACTTCGCTGGGCAGTCTATGTTGTAAAAATGCTTGATTTCAGAATCCCAACGGCAATATTCTATTTTACAAGGACACTGAAAATTTCTGGAGGATTTCAGCTTAAAATTAATATACGAGTATATAAAATACTAGTACTTTGACCAGGCAGAGCCTATCTCCTGACATACCCAGTTGGGGAGCAGTGGTCACAGTGGGTAGAAAATCGTATGACGTATCACGAATGAAAATCCTGAAACTAAGAGAGAGGCCTTAAAGCTGCACACATCCCCCAGAGGAAGAGAAACTTTAAAAAGTTCAAAATGGGGCAAACTTTTCAAATCCAGAATTGATCTCATCGGCCACAGCAAAAGCCATAAGTCATCGTAATCTTTAATTCTTCTAATTCTTCTGCTTGGGAGGAGAACTATAATTCTCCACTATGAATGTTTTGGACATCGTCATACATTGACGGACGAGCTATCGTGTCTGATGTACTGCAACTGTGTTTGCATGATGAAATGTTTGATGCGGTATATCTGAGATGAGACGTTTGATGCACTGTAATTCTCATGACAAGATAATATATTTGATGCGATGTAATATCGTTCATGACAAGATAAGATGTTTAATGAGAACTAATATTGTTCTGGACAAGATACGATATTTGATGCGAATACATATCGTTCACGACAAGAAGAGACGTTTGATGTGCTGTATCGCTCACGACAGGATACGATGTTTGGTGCGACATAATATCGTTCGGGATTTCATTAGATGTTTAATGCTATGTAATGTCGTTCACGACAAGATAATATGTTTGGTGCGATATAATGTTGTTGATTACAAGATAATAGATTAGATGTTTGAAGTTAAATAGTTCGGGTGGTTGGAAGGCGCAACTGGTAGATCCTACTTCTTTACATTCCATCTGTTGTTTCTGTACGTGTGTAGACTTTTTCCGTGCAACCAATAGCCGTTATTGTGTCCATGCTCTTTTCTTTACTCAAACAAACAAACAAAAAAACCAACACAAAGTGAAATAATAGCGTTCAGGGCTTCATGTGATGCTTGATGTTCTGTATCTGAGATAAAATTCAAAGCGCTGCATCGTTCACGACAAGATAATATTTTAATGCGCTATGTTGTTCACGACAAGATGAGAAGTTTGATGCGCTGTACTGTTTACGACAAAATGAGAAGTTTGATGCGCTGTACGGTTTACGACAAAATGAGATGTTTGATGCGTTGTTTCTGCTCGTATCCCAGCTCCTCGTTAAGGCTGTGCAGTCTGACCAGCTTCTCCTCGTCCAACACCGCCAGCACGTAGTCGGGGACATGGCGGCCTTGACCTTGCTCCACCAACACCAGCACGCGGTCAGGGTTCACCGGGGTCACAGCAGACGTGCACATCTGAAAGTTTGCACAATGAGATATGTGATATGAGATGTTCACATCTGAAAGTTTGCACAATGAGATATGTAAGGGGTGATGTTCACATCTGAAAGTTTGCACAATGAGATATGTAGTTCACGTCTGAAAGTTTGCACAGTGGTATATGTAGGAGAGATGTTCACATCTTGTTATGTGAGAGAAATAATTAAACCTGCTTGCAAATTCATTCCCTTTGCAGGACATTAGTTATTAAGCTGTTTCCATTTGTAGAAATACTTCCGCGTTGATTTATGTCATTTTCATGGTCATAATATGTCAAGTTTGTATTTTATATATTTGCCAGATGCGCACCATAAGGCTGATGATGGAATGTTCAATGTGAGAATGACCGAGACGTGTGAGTGTCAATTATCGTGAAGGGATGTGATCTGTAACATGTGAATATCACAACCAATTGTGTAGATATTGCTCCTTTTGCAGATTTACCAAAAATGTATTGCTTGGTTGTGTTCGACCTAATACAAGACTCCTGAGTTCCTGATTCAAGTTCAAGTTTGCTGTTACCAAGACCCAAGTCGCGAGACTTAACACATCTGAAAGTTTGCCCTAGAAAAAATGATTGGGAGATTTTCAGAACTGAAAGTTTGCTCAAGAAGAAATATTGGGGAGATGTTCACAACTGAAAGTTTGCACAAAAAGAAATGTTGGGAAGATGTTCACATCTGAAAGTTTTCACAAGATGAAATGTGGGGGATATTTTTGCACAAGAAGGAACGTTGGGGTGATGTTCACATCTGAAAGTTTGCACAAGAAGAAATGTGGGGTAAGTATAGATGGATCCAGATCTAGAGTTCAACAAAGGAGTGACTTGGACTGTCCTGCAGGATCCTCGTGCTTTCCTTCATGATCCGGCAAGTTTTACTTTTTTATACTGTGTTGTCTGTTGTACAGTTTGAGTGACATCTGACCTTCATGAGTTGGCGGTTGGAGAGCACCACAGGTAGGACCAACTTTTTTCCTCTATTGTTTCTGTCTGTCTATCATGTTTATTTCCTGACTAAATGACCGATTGTGTCGATGACTTTCTCTCTATTCTAACAAACAAACAGGCAGATAGACTATTATTATGTCGATATTATTTTCTTTACTCATGTAAGCAAAAAAAAAGACAAACTAGCTAACAGATACACAAACAAACAGACAGACAGACAAACAAATAAAACAATTAAACAAGCACGCAAACAAACTGGCAAAAGCAACCTTCATGACGAGGTGCGCCTTCTCGTATCTCCGGAGAAAGTTGGCGGACAAGACCAACACCAGTCTCCAGCTGTCCTGGATAGCGTCCAGCAGCTGTTGGTCAAGGTAGCCCGCGCCCAGGTCACGCTGGTGGATGTAAGTGGTCAGGTTCAGATTTTCCTCCAGGTACCTGTGTGGAAAAATTGTC